AATAATAATAAATAAGTTAAGATGAAATTATAGATGAAGAAGATGTATTATATTTTTATTTTTTTATTAAAAAAAAAACTATATTGTTAGTACATATTTTTTTTATTTTATTTTTTTAAAGAAATTTGTTAATTATTAATAATAAATTGAATAATTAGAAATGTAAAAAAAATAATTAGAAAAATAAATAAATGATAATTAAAAAGAAACTGAAAAATAAAAAAGAGAATTATAAAATGATTTATAGAAAACAATATTAATTTTATAAAGTAAAGAAAAGGAATATAAATTAAATATAATTAAAGACAAAGAAATTAATAAATTAGTTAAAAATGAATTAGAATGTATAATTAAATATATATTTATTTTACATAATATTAAACTTTAAAAGAAATTAAATAAAATTTAAATTAGAATGATTAAATATTTTAAGAAAGAATTAAAGAAAATTCAAGAGAAGTAAAAAGAAAAAATATATTTTTTTTAAACAAAAAAAATAAAAGAATTCTTAAAAAAAAAAAAATGGAAATTTTAAATAAACCGAAATTTTTAATAAGAATTCCAAAAAAAGCAGAAAAAATTCCAACCAATTAAAAAGAAAAATAAATGACAAATAATGAATTAAAAGTTCCTTTATAATAAATTAATAATATAAAATAATAATTAAAAAATAATGAATTCATAGATAATAATCAATACTTTTAAAATAAAAGTGAATAACAATCATAAAATAAAAGTGAAAAAGAAAACAATCAAAAATAAAAAACTAAACCTGATTCAAATAAAGAAGGAAATGATGATGAAGGTGAATATTATCAAGAAATCTTTGAAGAAGAAGAGTTTATAGATAAATTAAGTCAGAATTATGACTATTAAAGTTAAAAAGGTATCAATAAAAGTATATAGGACATAAATTAAAGTCAAAAAGATATAAATTAAAGTGAAAAAGATGATAACTAAAGTTAAAATAAATCATATTAGAGTTTTAAAAAAAAGACGAATATAATTACAAAAGTGATAAATATTAAAACAGTTAAGATTAAAGTAATTAAAATAAAAATAAAGATGATTAAGATCAAGAAAATGACAAAAATGATAAGTATATTTTATAAAAAAATTATTATAATAAATGGATTAAATAAATATATAATTATTTATATATTTATTTATATATATATTTATTTTTATAAATATAAATTTAGATAATAAGAATAAAATGTTTTTGCAAAACCTTTTTTTGGTTTTAAAAAAAAAAATGAATAGAATTGTTTTTTTTAACAAAAAAAATACTAAAATTTATATAAAAAATGTGTTTAGTTTATATTATTTATTCAAAATTTTCATAATTTATATATTTTATATTTTCTTTGAAACATTATATATATTTTTTGATTTAAATATTGATTTAATATTAAATAAAAATAAAATATTCAATTTAACAAATAAAATAAATGATACTTTTTTTTTTAAAAAAAAAAAAAAAATATATTTTAGATATATTTTTGTATATTAAAATAAATATAAATTTATATATATATATATATATATATATTTATTTATATATATATATATATATTTATTTACTTTTTTATTAAAATAAAAAAATGATAGATACAGGTACAAAAGCTGTTATGAATTAATTAAAAAGAGCTCGGAAAAGCGGTCATTTATCCTTAATAGGATATGATCTTAATGTATTTCCAAAAGAAATCTAGAACTTTTCTTCTTTGAATTTCGAAGACAATTGGTGGGAATCATGTCCATTACAAAAAGTTGATCTTTCAAATAATTAAATAACTTAAATTCCTGAAGAAGCTTTTATTAATGAAAAAGACATTTAATTAATAAGAATGATAAATAATCGTTTATAGACATTACCATAAACTATGTTTGATTTATAAAATTTAAAAAGTATAGATTTTAGTAAGAATTTAATCGTAAGTCTTCCTCAGAATATTGTTAATTGTAAAAGTTTAGTGGAAATAAATTTAAGTGAAAATAAATTAAGTTTATTGCCTTAAAATATTGGCTTTTTAATAAATTTGGAAGTTTTAAATGTTTCGTTTAATCAATTGAAAGAAATGCCTTGTTTTTTGGAAAGAAATAAATTAAAAAAACTCGATTTGGGGAATAATTAAATTAGTTAAATTTATAAAAATTAATTAAAAGGATATGAAATTTTAGAAAATCTTATTTTGTCTAAAAATGCTATATCTTTTATTGAAAATGAGTCCTTTTTTACTCTAGGAAATTTAGTGAATTTATTTTTGGATTAAAATAAAATTCTGGAATTTCAATAAAATTTTTAAAGCCAAAAAATTGATTAAATATCACTTTCGCATAATAAAATTGAAAAATTTGAGGGTTTTTAGAATATTAAAAATATAAGTACGCTCCTTTTAAATAATAATAAATTAAAATTTTTAGATAAATCGATTATTTTTTGTAAAAATCTTAAAACTTTGGATATTTCAAATAATGATTTACCTGATATTCCTTCCGAAATAGCACTTTTACCTAAATTAGTGAGAATTTAAGTCGAAGGAAACCCTTTAAAATGTATAAAATAATCTATAAGAAATGCCGGAGCAGAATAATTAAAAAGTTATTTAAAATTAAGAATAGGAGACGGTGATATTGAAACTTTAGAAAATTAAGTTTGCGATTAAAAGTTAAAATTTACATAATAAAATAAACACGATTAATATACTATATGGACAAGAGAATTTATGAAAAACAATGAACTTATTTTAAAAAATTAAAACATTTAAAATTTTGATGATGAAAGACTATTTTAATTAATCAATCTTAATCTTTTGGATCTTTCGAATAATAATATTTAAATTTTAAATTAAAATATTGGAAACTATAAAAACTTAAAAGTACTTAATTTAAGTAATAATTAAATATCTTAAGTTCCTGAAAGTATAGTTTATTTATAAAATTTAGTAAATTTATAAATTAGTAAAAATAAAATATCTAATTTTTTGGATTTTGTTTAATCGAAAAATATTTAAATGAATAATTTAGTCAGCTTAGATTTAAGTATTAATAAAATTACTAAAATTTCGGATTTTATTATTTTCTAAATGCCTTAATTATAGATTTTAAATATAGCTTATAATTAAATTTAGGATATAAACGCGCTATTTTAAGGAAACTTAAATAAATTAAATGTTCTGGACGTTTCAAATAATTGTCTGTCAGTTTTAGATGAAAAAATAGGCTATTTTTCACCTTTTTTATCACATATAAATATCGAAAATAATAATTTATTAAATATTCCTACTTGTATGGGTTTTATGAAAATTTAAAGCCTCAAAATAGACGGAAACCCATTCAAATTAATAAAAAGAAGTGTTATAGATAAAGGAACAGTGTCTATAATGGAGTATTTGAGAAATAGACATGTGGGAAATCCTCCTGATGATTTGGCTTGTATGAAAAAAGTTTAAATTTAGTAAATGGAAGTCGAATAATAGAAATAAAAAGAAGAAGATGAGAGAGGAATTTCAGGTTTTTTTTTGGGAGAAAGAAAATAATAATAATAATAATAAATCTAATAATAATAATGGTAATAATAGTAACAATAATAAATGTAAGAATTATAGTAAAAATAAGAATAATATTAGAGTTAATAAAAAAATATATATTTAGATGAAAATGTTAATAAATAAATTGAAATTATAAATTAAAACATTAGAAAATTATAAGGTGAAATTGAAAATAATTATTCAATGAATAAATATTTAATTAATTAAAAAAAAAAAGAAATTTAAGAATTAATTATGTAAAAGAATAAATTATAGCAATGAATTATAATTTAATATTTAAAAATTAAATAAAAAATAAAAGAAAAATAAAAAGATATATTATTTAAAATAAAAACATACATATTGATTTTATATAATATATTTTTTAAATTTAATTATGTAAAATAATTAATAATTTATATAATAAATATTAATTAATTTTAAATAATATAATAGATATATATATATATATATATATATATATTTCTATTATTTTAAATTAAGAATAGTAATTTTTAATATATCATAATATAAAAAAAAATAGTTAATTAAAGTTAATTAAATAATTTTAAAATAAATAAAAATTATAAAAAAATTTGATTTAAAAATAAATTATATTTAATTTTTTTTTAATTATATATAAATTTATTTAATTCAATAGATTTATATATATTCATATATATATATATATATATATATATATTATATATATTTATATATTAATTTTTTTATATATTTATAAATATACACCTATATTAATAAATTTATATACATATATATATATATTAATTATTTTACAAAATTAAATCTTTTTTTTTTTTTCTCTGTTTATATAATAAATATATAATTATAAATTTTAAATTTATATCTATTATAAAAATTTTATAATTTTTTTTTTCTATATTTATAAATAAAAATAATAATTTATTATATTAAATATTTAATAAATTTGATATAATTTTTTATTTATTTAATAATTCTATTTTCTGTCTGATAAGATTTCATTATTTAGGTTTGCAAAATAAATTTAATTATTTTTTTTTAATAGCACTAAATGGTGAAAAAGCTGACTTCGATCCAAATGGAGAATTTATGCGTTATGTATAATTTCCTGGTGAATTTAAAAAGAAAGTGTTTTTAAAATTCGGAGAATCTTAAAAAGTAGTAATGTATGGACTTATAGGATTATTTATAAAAAAGTTATTATTATTATATATTATTTCTTATTTAGAATTATTTTAAAATAATGCATTAATATTTTGATTCATAACTGATGAACCATTAGTAGATAGTAAATTGTTTTTATCTTCAAATTTTTCTCTTGGAGGTATTATTATTTTACCAATCATTCTTTTTTTTGAAATTGTTTCTTTTATACTATCCGAAAGACTTGTAGTTTCACAAAGTTAAGGCGAATGTTCACTATTTTCTTCTTTTTTTAATTTAATAGGTGTTTCCTTTATACTTTCAGGTTTTTTTTTATTTTATGCTTATATTTAGTTTTTATATATTTTTTCTAATGTAATTTTCTCCTCTTAAATAAAATGCATTTATAATTGCATTTCTTCTTGATTTTCGTATATAAATTATTATTAACCTTATAATATTTTCTATAAATGCTCTTATTATTATTTTAATGTTTCCTTATGGATATCTAAAGCATCCGATTTTTAGGAATGAGAGACGGCTTATTGCATTTAAATAAAAGGAGATATTGAACAATTTAAAGGGTCTTATGATATTGTTAAAATTACAATGTTTGATATTATATTTGTTTTTCGATCTCGTGTTGTTTTTTTATTGCTTCGACCTTCTTTTTAATAGGTCGTATATATGGCCTTACATGAAGATAGTTTTACTCCATATTATTCTGAAACCTAAAAATTATTTTTTGTTGTTGTGTATAATATTTTATGTTTTGATTTATATTACTTTTTTAATGTTTTTTGGATTAAGTATTAATTCTTTTATTATTTTATCACGTGTTTCTTGATCGATTTTATTATATTTTTTTTAAGGGTTTTTTTTCATTTATAAAATTTATAAAGCTTTTTTTTTTATTGTATTTTTTTTTTATTAGTTTTTATTTTTTTTGCTCTTTTTAAAATTTATTTTGATTTTAAAAATGTTTCACCTTTTTTTGATTATACAATGAACTATATTTAAATATTAAGATATATTTTTTTTTATGGTAAAAATAATGTTTAAGTGTTATTATTTATTCTTTTTTATTTTAAAAATAATTATTAATTGAAATTAATTGAAAATTTATAATTAAGTGAGATAATAATAAGTAACATATATATCTTATTTTAAAAAATAAAATATTTAAAATATATAAATGAATATAAATATACATATATATATATATATATATATATATATATATATATATATATTTATATAAATTAATAAATATATTTAAATTATATTTTTTATAACAACTAAATATATTATTTCATAATATTTTTTTTTTCTTAGAATTTTATAGTTTTTCTTCTAAATATATATTTAATGCTTTGTTTGAAATTATACTTTTTTATAAATCAATAAATTTGTTATTTATGTTTAGAGATTTTGCAAATACAAAATAATTAATGTTTTTTTAATTTTTATCTTCTCTTAATTTATTTTAATTTTAATTTTTTATTTTATTTTATTATAAATTTACAGTATTATAATGATTATTATTTTTTTACTATTTTTATGAAAATTAAATTTTTTCTAAATTTTAACATAAAAATACTTACCTTTCTCTTAATTTTTTACAATTTCTTAAATAATATTTTTATTTTTCACGTATTTCATTTATATTTTTTTTTATTTATAATATTTCGTTTAATATTATTTAATTTTAATTTTATAATAACAAATTTTTTAATTAATTTTCTTTAATTTTAAATTAATCCTTATATATTTATTAATTTACCTATTAAATATATATTTCTTCAGTTGTTTTAATAAAATCTTCTATTAATTCTTTTACTTCATCATTATTAATTATATTAGATATTCTTTTATAATAAAAAAAATTATATATAAATAAATATCTAAATATATTTATATATTAAATATTAATATATATATATAAAATAATATAAATTTATATATATATTGATAAATATATTACTTAAATAAAAAATTTGAATATGTATCTTTATTTTATCTAGCTATTTTTATTTATTATTATTAGTCATTTTTAATATCTTTTTGTTAAAAATATTTAAAATCTTCTTTTTTATCTATGTTTTAATACATTATTTCTTAACTTAAGTTTTTTACTTAATCTTTAAGTAAATTAATTTCCATAGAAATTTAGTTTTTTTTAAATAATTAATTTTATAAAATATTTTCTTAGCTATTTTCTTTATTATTTTATTATTAATTAAAATTAGTATTATTTTAGTAATTTGATTGATTTTATTATATCTATTTTTCTTATTCTTTTTGTATATTTAAATTATTCAATAATTCGATTTATTATTATATAAAATCTGATATTTGTTAAAATTCTTATTTTATTTATTTAATTTCATTACAAATTATAATCTATATGTTTTTTAATTTAGTAAATTTAAAATAATCATCTTAAAAATAATTTATTATTTAAGAAAATTCATTATTTATTATATTTTATATATTTTCTTGTTTTTAAATTAAGTTTCTTTCTTGATTAAATTAAAAAAATTAATTTTCAAATTAAATTTTTATGTTTTCTAGAATATCTTAAAGGTTTTTCTTTTCTTATTAAATTATATTTATTTCATTTATTAAATAATTGTATTCTTAATGTTTTATTTATTGAATGTTCTTTTGAAATTCTTCCAAATTTTAAACTCTTATAATTTCTTAATTATATTTTTATTCAAGTTCTTTTTAAAAACATTCCTTTTCTTCTAATATTGTTTCTAGTTCGGATAAAAGTACTTCTTGCTAGTTTATTTTATTTTGAAGATAATCATTTTCAGTTTTTTGTATTTGTTCTTTAATTAAATATTGTTAATTTGGATTTTAAAATTATAATTATTATAAAGCATCACATAATTCTTTACTTTTTTAATCTAATTATTAATTTAATTCAAAACAATATTATAAAATGGCATCTTTTTCATTTTAATTTTTTTTATGTTTATTTTTAGTTTCTAACTTTTTTTTTAATTTTTTAATATATAATTTATTTATTTTTTAGTTAAAAAAAACAAAACAAAAAAACTAAAATACTCTTTATAACGCAATTATTCTATATTTATTCATTTTTGTTTTTTTTTATGAATATTAAAAAAAAAAATTATTTATTTTATTAAAAAATATAAAATTTTATTTATTAAAAAATATATATATATATATATATATTATATTTATTAAATATATATATATATATATATATTTATAGTAATAAAATATATAGAGAATAAACTAATTAAAGAAAAATTTAAAATTTAAAATGAAAATTATTAAAGTTATTTAATTTTTATAAATAAAGTTTCTTTATTTTTTTTTAAAAACAGCCAAAAAAAAATAAAATAAATTAATATTTATTTATTTTAATAAAAAAAAAAAAAAATTTAATTTAATTTAATTTATTATTATTATTTTTTTTTAAAATATATAAAAAAATACTTTTCATATAAATATAATTAAAAAAATGCAAGATTCATAAACATATCCTGAAGAAAAATCATCAATTTAAGTATTTATCAGAATTAGACCCCCTAACGAACGAGAAGATGAACAAAATGATCCTATTTGTACTAAAACTGACTCTATGTCTCCAAACACTATATAATTAAAAGCATTTTAATAAAATGACTATTAATCATAAATATTTTCATTTGATTTTGTCGGAAATATTTAATGCTCTTAATTATAAATATTTAATAAAGTAGCCCTTCCAGCAGCTGATAATTGCTTGGAAGGTTACAATGCATGCATTTTTGCATATGGATAGACAGGAGCGGGTAAAACATATACTATTACAGGCGGAGGAAGCATTGAATAGGTATTAAATACAGAAAAAAGGGGTTTATTACCTCGTGTTTTAGAATATATATTCGAGAAATTAGAAACTCGTGAAAAAAGTGAAGAAAACTATTTAGTAAAATGCTCTTATTTAGAAATTTATAATGAGAAAATAATCGATTTATTAATGGATAATGGATAAACTTTATAACTACGCGAAGATTTAAAAAAAGGAGTATATGTGGAAAATCTAAGCGAAAAAATAACTCAAAGCCTATCATAAGCTATAGAAATATTAAAAAATGGAGGGAGAAACAGACATATAGGAATAACTTCAATGAATAGAGAAAGTTCACGCTCTCATTCTGTTTTTTCAATTACAGTTTAATAAAAAGTAATATTGTAAATATATATAAATATTATATATATGTGTATATATGTACATATGTATATTTTTAGATTAGAAATAATAATATAATAATAATGAAAACTAGTAGATTTCATTTCGTTGATTTAGCGGGAAGTGAAAGGATTAAATAAACTAATGTCATAGGAGAAAGATTAAAGGAAGGATGTAATATTAATAAAAGTTTAAGTGCTTTAGGGAATGTAATAAATGCATTAGTAGAGGTTGATAATGGGAGGTAGAGACATATACATTATAGAGATTCGAAATTAACTTTTTTTCTTAAAGATTGTTTAGGAGGAAATTCTAAAACTAGAATTATTGCAAATATTTCTCCTTGTGCTAGTGCTTTTTAGGAAACTTTGAGTACTTTGAAGTTTGCTAAAAGGGCTAAGCTAATTAAAAATAAAGTCTAGATTAACGAAGAAGATTCCGGGAGTATTGAAGCACTTAATTCGGAAATTAAGAAACTTAGATAAGAGAATTTTTAGATTAAATAAATTTTGTAGTAGTAATAATAATAATAGGTAGTTAGTATTGGGAAAAGTTGCTATAATAATAATATTTTAAGTATTAAAAGTGAGGTATATTTTATCTTATACATAAAAATAAATAAATTTATATATTTATATTAGAATGAAAATTAAGAAATTAATATATAAATGCAAGAATCTGAAGAATTATGTTAACATTATTTGGAATAAGCCTATGATGTAGAATAATAAATGAATTATAATTTAGGATAGAAACAAGATTAATTATAATAAATATTATAATATATATTAGTTTTTTAGAAAAATGAGCATTAATATAGGAATATAATTAAACTTTAAGGGTTCAAAATATAAAGACTGGAATAAGTTTTAAATGATAAAGGGTTCTTTGAGAAAAACGAAAATACTTATTAACAATTAGAAAGAGATTTAAACTAAAAATAAATATAAGAACTAAGGAATTTAGTTGATAATTAATAGTACTTTTCATCTTTATGTATTTAAAATATCGCTTTGTAGAAATAAGTTGAGAAGATTAAAGAACCGGGAAGGACTATATTTAAATAATTAAATGAGAATGTTAGTCTATTATAAAAGATTTTAAAAAAAATCGAAAATAATATAGAATAAAGGATAAAACTTTAACCAAGTTTAGAAAATATGAGGAATATGGAAAAGATGTGTGAATATAAGGAAAATATGTAATTTTAAGAAGGAAAAATAAAAGAATTATAAGAAAAAATATAAGAAATAAATAAAAAATAAGAGGAAGAGTATAGTTTTGTAGAAAAAGAGAAAAAAATATAAACTTTATAGAAAATTTTAGATGAGAATTCATAAAATTTCGACATTTAAAAAAATTAATTTCAGGAAGAAATCGAAATTTTAAATTAAACAATTTCCTTTTAAGAAAAATAAATTTAAGAATATTTAAATAATAATAAGGTTTTTTAAAAAAAATAGGACGAAAATAATGAAAAAATAACTTTTTTATAAAATAAAATTAATTAATTATAAAGTTAATTATTAATAGGAAAAAGTTAAGATTTTAATTAATTTTTCGAGGAAAATTAAAATCTATAATAATAATTAGAAGAATTTAAAAAAAAGTAAGAAATTCAAGAAAATCTAATTGTTGAGAAAAATAAAGAAAATGAAAATTTTATTCAATAAATTAATCAAAAAGAAGAAATTATTTAAAATTATAAAGAAGTTTGGGAAAGTTAAAGTCAATATATTGAAAGTTTAAAGGAAAAAATAGATGATTAATAAAATATTATATAGGATATGGGAGAATAGATTATGGAAGTGAATAAAGAGAAGCAGTTTTTGGTAAAAAACTATGAAAAAGTCCAGAATTAAAATGATTTAGAAGTTTAAAATAAGCTAATCTAATTAAGAATTGATTTAGAGGAAAAAATAAATGTATTTATGGTTGAAAAATAAGAACTTTAGAATAAATACGAGGAAAAAATTTGCTTTTTAGAGAAAGTTAATGAGTAATTAGTGAAAGAAAAAGATAAAGAAGTTGATTTTTTGAAAAAAAATAAGCAGTTATAGGAATTTTTAGATGAAAAAAATGGATAATATAATAAAATTAAGGAATAATAAGAGAAATTATAATAAGAAATATACTTTTAATAGGAAAAAATATTAAATTTAGAATAAGAAAAAGAGAAATTGAGGAGAAATTTATAAGAAAATGGGCTTAAAGTATAAGAAAAAGAGAACGAGATTTCCGGATTTAAATAGAAAATGGAAAAGATGAATGAGTTTTCGAATTTTCAAAAGAATAAAATTGAATAAATGATGGATTAGAATGAAAATCTGAAAATAAATATAGAAAAAATGAATAAAGAAAAATAAAATATGGAAAGTTAATTTTAATAAAATTTAAAGGAAGAAATTTAGACTGTTTAAATGGAAAATAAGGTCCTTTTAGAAAAAATCGAAAAAAATAATTAAAGTCTTTAAAAAAATATAGAAGATAAAGATAATTTAATATAAAAATTAGAAAATGAGTTAAAATAAATTGCTATTTAATAGGAAAATATTTTAAGGGAAAATTCCATTATTTTCGAAAAGGAAAAAAAAGAAATTCTAAATAATTATAGGGAATAAAGCCAAAAGAAAATAAATTAATTATAATAATAAAATTAATAATAGATTAATATATTTTAGGAATAAATTAATGGATTAATCGAAAAAAATTAAAAACACTAACTTCTATTAGAATAAAAAGACTCTATTATTGAAGAACATTAGGTTTTTGTTGAAAACTTAGAAAAGGAAATTATTGAACTAAAAAAAGATAAAAAAAACTAAGATGAAAGTGCATAATTAAATGAAAAAAAAGAAGAAAATAAGGTATTAGTTTTATAAATTAATAATTAAAAAAGGGAAATTTAAAATAATTTGTAAGAAATTAATATATTAAAGTAAGAAATTTAAAAATTATAGAGTAAAAATGTAGAAATATTTAATAAAAAAGAAGAAATTTTCAAAATAAAAGAAGAAATTTTTTAAAAAAATTAAATTTTGGATAAATAGAATTTAGATTTTTAAAAAAAAAATTTAGAAAAAGATTAACAAATTTCAAGTTTAAAAAATTAAATTTAGTAAAAGGAAAATATTTTAGAGGAAAACAATTCGAGCTTCCTTTAGAAAATTTAAAGTCTTTTAGGACAAATCTCAACTTTGGAAAATTAGATTAAATTTCATTAAAATAAAAATGAGGAATTATCTAATAATAAATAAGAAAATGAAAATTAGTTAAGGAAATAAATTGAAAATGTATTTTAATCAAATATACATGAACTTAATTCTTAAAATAATAAGCTTCTTGAAGAAATACATGGGTGCTAGTAAAAACTTTAATAAAGCGAGCTAAATGTATTATAATTAAAAGAATTAATAAATAATTTTAGTCTGTAAGTAGGATATAAAGATAAAGAAATTGTTAATCTTGCATAAGAAAAAGACTAATTAAATGATAAAATTAAAAAATAGGACAGTAGAGTAAAAAATCTTAAACAATAAATCGAGCTTTTTAAAAATATATAAGAGGAAAACGAAAAATTAATTCAAGAAATAAAATAATTAAAAGAAGTATAAATAAATAAAAATATATATATATATATATAATATATATATATATTTTTATTTATATAATAATTTAGAGTGAATTAAAAGAATAAAATGAAACGAAAAGTAGCAAAAAGTAAATCTTAAATTTACAGAATTAGATAGAGTTTTTATAAAAGGAAAATAAAGAAAAAGAAGTTTTAAATAACAAATTATTATAAAAACTATAAGAATTTAAAAATGAATTGACTAAATAATAAAGCGAGTTTGGAAGTGTAAAAGAAATGGAAAAAAAAATTGAGAAAGCAATAAGATAAATTAAAGAATTAAAAAAAGTTATTGAATAGAAAAATAAAGATATAGAAAATATAAAGAATACATAATATAATGATTATGAAACTAACAATTCTTAATAAAAAACAGTAAAAAGTTACAAATATTATATTAATTTTATAAACTTTATATTATAATATAAATAAATTAATTTTTAATGATTTTTTTAATTTAGGATTAAACATAAAATAATAATAATAATAATTAATAAATGGAATAATTAATGCAGGAACATTTAAAGACTTTAGAAGAAAATTAATTGTTAATATTTTTTTAATTTTTTTATTTTAAAATAAATAAAATATAGATTAAAATAAAAAGAAAAAAATTGAAAAAATAAATATATGATATAATAGAAATAACAAAGATGTTAAATAAAGAAAAAACTTAATATTTAGAAGAAATTGAAGGCTTAAAAAAAGACTCAGATTAATTAAAATATAAATATTAGGAAAATAATTCTGATATTAAAAAAATTAAATAAGATTTAGAAGTAAAATTAAAAATTTGTAATTTTTTTTTTTTTAAAAATAAAATAAATAAAATAAAATTAGACATAAATTAATGAAAATAAAAAAATGCAAGAATTTATTATTTAAACAAATAATATAATTTATATGAATTTTAGTGAATAAAAAAAAAATTCAAGTTCTATAGAAAAATAAATGATTGCAGGCGTAAAATAAATTATTTAAGAATTAATGGAAAAAGATAATTAATTACATATATAAACTAATGAAATAGATTAAAGCAAACAAAAAATAAATGAATTGGAGAAAAAATATAGTCAATTAAAAATTTTATATTAATAAAAAGATAAATATGCTCATAATTCGTCAGAAAGACAAGAATAAAATTATTAAATGAATTAAGTTAAACCGAATCCTAGTTAATTTAGAAATATAAATTCTATTAATATAGATGATAAATAAAATAATAAATATAATAAATGATTTATTCTTTGTTCTTCTTTTTTATTTTATTTTGTAAAAACAAAAAAATTAAATTAAATATATTATTATATATATTTAAAATAAAAACAAAAAAATCTTTATAAATATATAAATATATATATATATATATATATACATTAATAAAAATAATAGTTTTATTTTGTTTAATTATAATAAAAAATATTATATAATTCTTTTTTTATTTGTTTTAATAATGTTGTATAATTTTTTTTTTATTTATTAATATTTATTTACCTAAAAAAAATATAAATAAAATATTAAATGGATAATTATGCCAAAATTCCATTAAATTAGAATAAAATATTATAAAATTTAGATGGATAATTATATCCTTAATATTTTAAATGTTAAAAATGCTTAAGAGAAAATGTAAGCTAAGTTTATTCATATCCAAATACAAATACATGGATTTGGGCTATCTTATTAATACCTATTAGTTGTTGTTGTTTACCATTTTTTTTTAGAGAATGTAATTCAGTAGTACATTATTGTTCTTTTTGTTAAAAAAAAGTTGGATTTACAAGATGATAATAAATAAATATATTTATTTATACTAATATAATTTAAAATAAATTATTTTATTTTTTATATAAAAATATATGTTAATTATTAATAAGAATATTTTAATATTTTTTTTTTCTTTATTATATATAATTATGTTTGATTTTTTTTTATTTAATAAGACAACATTCTCATTTATAAAGATTACAATAATTTTTTTTTAAATAAATAATATTTAAATATGTTTTTATTTATATTGAAATATAATTAATTGCTATTTTATAAATATTCATATTTTATATTAAATATTTATATATAAATATATAATTTATAAAATATAATATAAATTGTATATTTAATATGAAATTAAAATTTTATATTAAAAAAAAATATAATATTTTAATAATTAATAAATATATAAAAATTTAATAAATTTTTTATATTAAAATTTTATTAAAGTCATATTAAAGTTAATATAATAATTTAATTTTTGTTTTAAAAAGAAAATTTATTAAATACATGTATATTATATATAAATAAAATATAAAATATTAAAAAATAAATTAAATATAACATTATATAATATCAAAAAATTGAGTATATACATTTAAATTTTAATTTTTGTTATTAAATTATATAAAAATAAAAAAATTATATTATAAAATTATTGTTTTTTATTATTTTCCTACATAAAAATATATAGTATATAGATGATATTTTGATTAACATTTTATAATTATATTAAACTTATTTTTCATAAAGCAATACATAGATTTTTACATATTATTTTTAATCTTTTGATTTTTTATAGACATAATTCTTAATCATTTAAATAAGTTAAATTTGTTTACAATTATAATTTATAAGTATAAAATATAACAGAATTATATTTTTTTATTAGATTAGATTTTATATTTATTAGATTTATTACTAGTGATTATATGTAAGTCTACAATTTTATTCATTAACTTGAATATTATTACGCTTTTTTTATGTTAACAAAATTATTTAAATGTACTTAAATAATATCAAAGCTTGTTATATCTATGTATAAAAAAATAAGCTATTATTAATAATACATAATGATTTGATTTTAAGAGTTAATCATTAATAGATTTATTCTTATAAATATTTAGTTAATAATAATAAAAATTAAATTAATATGCCATTTGTTTTTATAATATGATAATTAAATATTATTATCGTGTAAATCTATAGTTTAAATAAATAATTTCAATAGATTAATTAATATATATAAGGCATAATATAAGTTTAAATAGAAATACAAGAATATTTGACATTTTGTTAATATTTATTTTAAAGCAAATAAATTATGTTTTAAAAAATTATTTAAATAAAAATAGAAAGAAAAAATAAAGGTTTTAAATATAAAATGAGAAAATTTTAAATATGTAAAAATACATTCCAAAAAAATTAAAAATTTAATAAATACTAAATATGTTTTAATAATTTGTAAATATATATTATAAAATAGAAAATAAAAATAACAATAAATTTATATTTATACATATATATATATATATATATATATATATATATATGAATAATATTTATTTAAAAGTTTTAAATAATGATAATAATAGTATTTAAACATTTTTATATAAATTTTTTATATGAACTATATTTATATATTTTATATAATATCTTTGTTGATATAAAATTTTTTTTATAAATTTTGTGTAATAGCCAATATTTTTATTAAAAAACAATTTCATTATTAATCATTTATTTTTTATTATTACCAATATAGATTTTCATTTTATTAGTTTTACATTTGTTATTTAATTTTCATTTAATCTTTTTGATTAAGAGAAGAAACATATTTACAAAGCTTCATTACTTCTGGGTTCTTCTAAAATTATGTTCCCTTAAATTTATAGACGGGATTTCTTATTAATTCTCTAAAGACATACATAGAACCCCAAGGATGTGGTTTCAAACAATATAATCTTTCAGCAAAAATTCTTTAATGTTTTAATTATAAATAAAATATTTTTTTTTTAAAAAAAAAGATTTATACTTAATAACTTATTCTTATATATCAACTATATTATTTTCTTGGAAAATAAGAAATAATGAAATTCATATAAAAGTTTGTTATATAATTTGGATATCTTATTTAGTTCATTATTTAATTTAATATCACTTCTCTCATTTCTACTTGTGTACTTTTTAATAGTTTCTAATATTATATAATAAATATAAATATATAATTATATTTATATATATATATATATATATATATTATTACTAAAAATATATTATAAGCTTCCTTTTTCAAATCGAAAAATTTCACAGTATTTTATTCTGGAGAATTAAATAAGAATTTAGGTATTGAAATTACTAAAGAATTAATTGCAATTTCATCTATTTTTTCTTTTTAATATATATTTAATATAAATATATATTTATTTCTTTATTATACATATTTATTTCTTATTATCAAAAATAATTAGTTTTGAGCAAATATTTCTAAATATTTCTTCGTTTTTCGTTGCAAAATAATTATCTATCTCACTTTGTAAATTTATTTCATTCATTTTTTAATTGTAAGAAGGATAATAAAAAACAGGGAATATTTTAAATTCTTCTATTTATTCAATTTAATCTGTCTAATTTATATATATATATATATATATATATATATATATATATATATATATATATATATGAATAAATTTATATGTTTATATATTTACTTATTCAAAAATAAAAGGATCTGGAGGTCTCATACTTTAAGGGAAAGCCGCTAAAATAATATTTCTGATTTAAACAAATTTTTCAGGAACTTAATCACATAAAATATTACAAAACTTAGTTAAGAAATCTTACCAATCATGTAATATTACAAATAATACTCTAAGAGTTCCTTTAAAATAAGCTTTTATGGAATCATTATTATATATATTTTATGATTGCATAATTTCTTTGAAAAATTTCAATAAAACCACTATTAATTAATTATATGAAGTCCAGTTTTATTCCTATATTTTATTAAATATATATATATATATTTATAAATAAAAATATTTACTTTATTTAAAAGCTTAGGCATAAAATATCTATTGGCAACTATTTCCAACCAAGAATTAGCAAAGCCTGGGAATTTAAGAGGTTGAATTTAATATAAAAGATTAGCAAAAATATTGTACATTAAAAGTATTTAATTTTCTTCAAAAGAATAATCATTTCTTTGAATATCATATATAAGATTAAATAAAAGTTTAAAAAAAGGTCTTTAATTAAATTCGTAAATATCATTTTCATGATATTTAGTCAATAAAACAATATATGAGTCGCAAAATTATTGAAAAATTTAAATTCTTATTTCTTCATTATTTTCTAAAGATTTTAATATTATTACTACTAATTTACTATATTAATCAATATAGCAAGTATCAAAATTTTTAAATGTATTTAAGTTATTATCTTTCCTATATAAATATAAAATATAAAAAAATAAATGAAAATAAAAATATATATATATATATATATATATATATATATATATATATATATATATATATATATTTATATATATAATTATATTAATATTTTTATTTATTTATTTTTACTTGTTTTATTATAATGTATATTATATGCATATGTCAGCTGTGTATAGGAAAAATTTAGAGTCAGTTTTGTAGATTATCTCAGTAATATATTCACTTATTTCTGTTTCAGTGGTTATTTTTAACCATTATTCTATTTTTTATTTACATAAATCATAACTTTATTAATCGAAGTTTTTATAGTAATTTAATATTTCATCAAAGTTTTTTGAAAATTCATTTGTGTTTTTTAAAAAATTTTAAATTTCCTTAAAAAAATTAGTTATTTTGCGACTTAAATTAACCTTATTTATATCGAAATTTATTTATATTTATTAAATTGTTTCATTAAAATAATTAAAATTATATATTTATAAATCAAATATAATTTCATTTAAAAATTCACACAATAATTCAATAAAGAATTCTTAATAATTATAGACAATTAACAATTATTAGAAAATCTAAAAATAAAAATTTATATAAAATAAAAAATTAATAATTTACTTCATTTATTTCTTAAATATTCAAAAATTTATATTTTAATAAAGTATGGAATGTTTATGAGAAATTATGTGTAATAATATAATATACATTTTAATTAATAAGAAATTATAATATACTTTATCCAAAAGAAAGATTTATTTATAAAATTTATTAAATTATAGAGAAAATATTCCCAAGAAATTAAACTGCATTTCTATTAATTTCTGAATAAATAATATTTTTGTATATAACTTCACTTATCATAAAATACAATTCAATAGATTTTGTACATTTATTTAATATTTATTCAATTTAATTACTTTTTTAAATATAATTATAATTCTAATCAATAATAACTAATTTTTAAAATAAAATTATATAAAAAGAAATAAATATATAAATATATATATATATATATAGTAATTTTAATATATTTACTATTCTATATTTTATTTTTAACTTCTATATTATATTCTAAAAATGTACTATTATCCCAATCTGTACAAAAATTGCTTAAAAGATTTTTTGGTTATAAATTGAATGGTAGATTTTTAACGAATTTATAATAATTCTCATCTATAAAATTTTCTCCTTTTTCCTTTAAATTTCTCCTTTTTTGCATACTCTCATTTACTAAAGTGTCTTTTTTTACTTCCTCTAAAGCTTTTTCTACTACTGCTTTTACTATGAATTAACAACCTATATCTATATTATCATTTTAAGCTTAAATTATTATATTTTCTTTATCATTTTCGTTTATTTATTGTTAATCTAGTAAATTTTTTAAGTGATTTCCGAAAGAATTTTTTAGTGGTTCGCGACAGGTTACCAAGGCTAAATTTCCTGACAATTTTTACATCATTTATTGTATTTATTTTAGTACTATTGTATCTTCTTATTCACAACACATGTCTTTTAAAGTTATCTCACGGCTTGTTACCAATGATATTGTCACGCTTCTTGATATTACTGGTTATATTATTTCTTGGATGGCTTTATCAAGTGCACAGGCGATTATATTCCTCAAATCTAGGCCTAAAAAGGAGCAATGTTGCTATAGATCTTCTTGAATATTTATTAATTCGACTAAATTAGGTACTATTTATATTTATTAATGACTTTCGAAAACTTCTTATGGAAGTTATTATGTCTATTGAGTTTATTATGATATTTAAGATTAATTTTATGTTTAATTTTATGTTGTATTTTTTATGTTTTCAATTTAAGATCTGTATTTAAGGTAAGTACATTATTCTAGATTTGGTATTTAATTTTCTACATTTAGATTTTTAAAAAGAATAATAATTTCTTATTTTAGAGTTTATTTTATTTTCTAGTTTTTAATTTCTTCCAAAAGCTTAAAATTCTTTTTAACCAAGGATTATTTATTGTAAAAATTTTAGAGTCTTTTGCATTTATAAGTAATTTATTAATTAAAGGCAGAATAATATCTAGTTTTTTCGGGAAAGCTTATTATAATAGTAATTTTATATTTAAATATTTCGATAAAATAGGTTTGTTTCTTTTTAAAGTTAATTATCCAATCCAAGAAGCTAGATTTTTGATAATATTTCTATCTGAAGATTAAGGAGTATGCTCCGAAGTGAGTATTTTTTATAATAAAATCATTGAATCTTATAAGATTTATTTAAATAATGATTTCTTATTGATTTTTTGTAACATTACTATATATAAGGGTTAATTATCAGGTTCATAAGGGGCCCTTCTTAATACTAGATGGGAAATAAACCATTTGAAATGATTTTGATTTTCCAAGAAGACTTTTAATTCGGAAGAGTTCTTTTCTAATTATTGTTCTGTTAGATTATTTACTAGAAAAGTCATTTTCATTTTCAGTTAATCATCGCAAAGGAAATTTGATTATTAGTCTTCTTTTTTTAGGATTTCTGTAATAGGTAGATTCTTATATTCATTTTCTTAAAATAAAGCATTACGGAGAGATTCAAAACCTACGCCACCAGTATATGGGCGAGAGAGACTTTCTTTTGGATCCTATAAGTCAGGTTATTTAAGGGTTTGGATAGGAGGGAAGTTATGGAGTTATTAAGTGTATATTTGTTAGGAAAGGATTTAGGTCTATTAAGAGTTAAGAGGTTAAATAGGGAGGGTGTTTTTAGTTTAGAGATCGATTTTTGTCGGTTGGATTAGATTTTGTGGAGCGTTTCGGTGAGTTGCGGAGTTTATTTATTAAGGGATTTATTAAGGGGGGATAATGGGGATTTCAAGGGTTGAAGGATCGAAATGTTTTGTAGTTATTTTTAATTGGAGCTTCTTTTTGTTTTAATTCATTTATTTTAAAGTGTTTTATTTTGAAGTTTCTGTGATTTCAGATTATGTTTGATTTTCGATTTTGGAAATATAAGGTTAAATTATGTTTTCAGACCCTTTTTGAGTTTATTGCAGAGTGTCTTTTAGTGTTTCGGGTTTCGGGAAAGAGATAATAGAGTTTTAGTTTGTGTTTGAATTAGTTTGGGGTTATTGAATAGGGAAATAAGAATCATTGGGTTGGATTTATAAAGATTACATATTTTGTTAAGAGGCAGATTAATATTGTTTAATTAAAGGGGAGTTTGTTTATTGTTGTTGTTATTATATTTATTGCTATTATTGTTACTATTATTATAATTATTGTTATTATTAATGATGTTATTATTGTTATTGCTATTATTATATTTATTATTATTGTTAATACTATAATTATTATTATTGTTACTGTTGTTACTACTAAATTTATTGTTATTTTTATTATTATTACTATAATTATTGTTATTATTATTACTGTTATTATTGATATTGTTATTATTATATTTAAATTTGTTACTTATTATTATTATTATTATTATTATTATTATTATTATTATTATTATTATTGTAATTATTATTTTATTTATATTTCTTATTATTCTTGTTACATTTATTGTTATTACTATTGCAATTATTATTATTGTTATATTTATAGTTTTTATTTTTCTTCTTATTGTTTTTATTCTTGAATTTATTTTTGTATTAATTATTCTTATATTTTTAGTTCTTAGTTTATTTATTCTTAAATTTATTGTATTTTTTCATATGCATTTACACTTATATTTATTTTAATACTTTTTTCTAATGTTTTCTTTTTTAATATATTATTTATTTAATAAATTTTTAATTTTTTTAAAATTTTACATGGTATAAGTTAAATACGAACATTGGATTTTTTTCAATAATTTAAGATTTAATATCTATAATTTTTTAAATAAATTAAGGATAATTAAATATTTTTTCTTTCATTTATTCTATAGCTGATATGCTAAAATCTAATTTCTTTATTTTTTTGCTACATTCAATTATTATTTTTAACATTATTCCTAAAGGTTATCCTTAAACCAAACTATAAAATAAAAATAAATAAAAAAATAATAAATAATTTAATAATTACTCTTCTCTAATAATACTTCCGTATAATTTTCCAGCAATAACCAATTATTTTTCCGGATAATTTTCATAAAATTTACTTTCTTCAATAAGTATAGTAATAAATGTTGCAAAGAAGTCTTTTTCTTCTTCTTTATCTGAAAACTTTGTTTATTAAAGAGCCTCAATAATATATTCACATTAAATCTCTTCTTAATAAAGTTTATTAAGCAAACTTTCTGTTCTACTTTCCGCCTCAGAAAAAATTTATAAATCTAAAGGGGGCAAAATTTCCATAATTTCCTTATATTATTTAAATACCTTATTAATGTTTTTTTAAGATAGTTTATTATTCTATTAAACTAAGAGACTTTCGAAAATAATCTTAGCGATATCAACAGCTGTAGGCTAATCAATTTACAGACTTTTATTTTTAAAAGGAATTATAATATTTTCTTCTAAATAAACTAATAAAGCATCCACAAATTCATCTCCCCCACTTTTAACTTTGTTATTCACCCAAAGATCAAAATGTATATATTCTTATTTACCTGCTAGAATACTTAAAGCAATTGAAAAAGTATAATCGTTCCAGTCTATAAAGATGTCCAAAGAGTCTTTTATATATTAAGAAATATCTAATATTTTACACAAGCTTTCGTTCTTATTTTCTTGTTTGTAAATTTCGCAAACAGTTGAAATTAATAAATCTTGGTTGTTTTTCCATATTTATTCTAATATATCGATTGAGTTTTGGTAGTTTTATATGTAATTAGGTAATAAAATGCTAAATAATTCATTAAGGAGAATTTTATTGTGTTTATTAGCCTTTATTTATGATAAACCGACAACAAGTATTTCAGGACATCTTTTAATAGGAAATTCGAACATTTCCCTTATTTATATAAAATACTAATCTCTGCTTAACTATAAAAGGAGCTCAAGGAAATCTAAACAGGCCCAGAATTATAAAGATTAAGGTTATAATTGATCATATTTATAATTTGAATTAAAATCTAAACTAATAATACGTTTATTTACTTCATTCCAAAAAAGAACATCTAATTCTTTGAATTTTAGAATGTTTTAAATAAAAGTGATTTAGACTTTACTATGAGACCAAGCTTAAGTATATATTTGTGATGGGAATGTAAATTTTTATTTTTAATATATGGTTTTTAAAAAACTAAAAAATAAATATAAGTTTTCTTCGGTTTATAATAGATTATTTTCACGGTCAAGTTCTAATATTACTTATCCCCACTTCAATAATAAATATAATTAAAAATATAATATAATGTATAATATATAATAATATTTAAAATAAATATATAATTTATTTAATTTCTTACATCAGAATCGTTTTATTTTTTATTTAAAGATATATGAAAATTTTCTAAATTCCATTAGTATGTATTGTTTTCTTCATTAAATTCTTAATTTGTAAATTTATTCCATTCGTTCTAATTATTTTTACATTATGTTTGGTAAAAGTTTTATACAAGTCTTTAATTTTAGTCGTTAACTGCTTTAGTATCGGTTGCGAATAATTATAAACATTAAAATATATCATCAGGGGTAAATTTATAATTAAAATCTTATAATAAAGAATTTAAAATTTCTACAGAAGAAGTCGAATACGGTCCTAAGTCTTTTAATAAATCAGCAAAACTTATTAATTTATTCGTATTTTCAGGTTATATATATTAGTTTTTATTCAAATCCCATTCTTATTAATAAACATCGTAAAAAATTTTCAATTCTTCGTCATATTCATTAATATCGGTTTTATAAAATACTTAAGGTTTAATTTCATTAGATTTTACATTTATAGTGCTTTCTTTTAAATTTTTAATTTCTATTTTAAGGTTCTTTTATAATTTTTACTAAATATATAATTTCTTTTTTATTTTTAACTTTAAATTCTTGATATGTATTAAGTATATTTAATAAAATATAAAGGGAATTTTAAGGTAAAATTTATGGATTTCCATTTTCAAAAAAGTCTTTTATTTTTTCTCTTAGTAATTTAATTCCTTTTTATTTTATTTTTTTATTTTAAATAATAATAATTTTTTTTTTTAAAAAAAAAAAAAATATACCATCTGAAGATATTTGAATATTATTTGAAAGTACAAAAGATAAAGATATAAAAATCTAACAAATAATATTAATTTTTAAAACCTTAAATAAATCCTAAACATAATTATAAAGAATATTTTAGCTTTATTTTGTATTCTAATTATTAATATATATTGCTTTCATAAAAATATTAGGTAAATAATCTAAATAAGCTGTACATTAATTATTTTAGATAATATTTTGTAATAACTAACAAAAATATTAAGCTTTTACAGTTTAATGTAAACTGTTTTTCATTTAATTGCTTTAACCATTCAAATCTAAACTTTCTAAAAGACAAGCCAGGACATATTGCTCTCCTTCAATTCCTAATTATTTAACTATCTATATAAATATATGTATATATATTTAAATATTTTTTTTTTAATATATATTGAAAATTAAAATTACTTGATTTATTTCTTGTTTTATGTATTGAGGAGATTTCTTTTAATTTAATTAATATATTAAATTTCTTATTTATTATAAAGCTGGCAAATTAGGGGATATAGATAAGTTAGAATTGAACTGGTTAGACATACTTTTCTAAGCCAGTTCTTTTTTCATGATTATTTTAATTATAATATTTTCTTATTTTTTTTATCTTTTTTTTTTTTTTTTAGGGAATTGTTTTTTTTATATTTTTTTTTATGTTTTTATTAATTTTTTTTTTGTGTTATTTAATTAATTTTAATTTTCTCCTCTTTTCTTAAAATAAAAATAATATTTTATTTTTTAAAAAAGAGAGAGAAAAAAAAAAATATAAAATAAAATACTATATATATAATTTTATATATATTTTTTTTTAATTCATATTTAAAAAACAGTTTAAATAAATGATTAGAAAAAAATCACTAAATGAAGTAGTATATTTTTGATTGATTTTTTAAAGAAAGATTACAGAAATAAAAAAAAAATAAGAAAAAATAGAAACTCTGTTAAAGCGTAATATATATATATTTATTTTAAAATAAATTAAAATATAAAATGCTCTTAATTTTGTTTATCTTGATATAAAAGTATATTTTTATTTTTTTTTAAAAAAAGAAGCATAAAAAATATATATATATAATTTCTTAAAATCGAATTTATGTTTTTCGAAAATAAAAAATATATTTCTTTTCAAATAATTCTAAGTTAATCAAACCACTTTTTTTCATTGTAAAGTTTATCAAGAGTTAATTCAGGATGATTGATTCCTTCTTCATTCCATTAACTATCTTTATCGAAAATGTAAAATTCTTATTATTAATTATTAAATAAAATCATGTCAGTATCCAAAAATAAAGTAGCTCTAAAAAGTTTTCTTCTATCAAAATGTACATAATCTTCATAAGTGGCAGGAATAACGTTATCTAAATCAACAAGCTTTGTGAAAACTCCTTAATGAGTCATACAATCCATGGATAAAACTCTGTTTTAAGGATGGAATTCCATTTTAATAACGAATTATTTAGGTGTATTAAAGACATTCTTTTATTTTAATATTTTAATAATAATATTATGTATTGTATTTTTAAAAATACTTATTCTACAAAAAATGGAATTAATTTAAGATATTTTGTTAATGATTCTTAATTTTAAAATATTTCTTTTAATTCATTTTCTAATTAATATTAATATTTTTTTTTTATTTTTTTAATGAATATTGAAAAAAATTATTCTATGCATTTTTATTTTTTTACTTTAAAATGTTTAAGATTAATATAATTAAATTGGATTACTATCTTTATTAAGTTATCTCATTATACTATAATGTAAGTTATATTTCATCTATTTATTAATATTTTCTGGTATTTGTTTTTGGTTATTTTTTTGTATTATTTTACCTAAAAAGGAAATTACTTTACTTGTCTTGGTTTTAAAAAGTTCATATTTATTTTTTATTTATATCTTATTTTTATTTTTTTTGATATAATTATATTATATTATGTATTTTTTTTTTCCCTTTTTATATATAAATATATTTATCATTATTTTAAATATAAAGAAAATCAACTAAAGTATTATTATCTAATTAATATAAAAATAAATATTATTAAATTTAATTGGTTATTATAATTAAAAAAATAAAAATATCTATTGTATTTATAAAATCCTAATTCTTTGGTATTTGTATTTTTAATAAAATTAACAGATATTAAAATTATTTAAAATTTAAGTTTTTTTTATTAGATATAATGTTTATAGGTCAATTAATATATTATTTCTATACTATTGTTTTGTATAATAAGTTAAAATATTTTTGTTAATTCAAAATATATGAAAATACTAAATAAATTTTATAATATGTATTTTAAATTTGAAGAAATTAATTTATTTATGTATATTTTTTTTAAATTGTTTTCATTTTTTTATTAATCAGTAGTTAAATTTAAATCTTCTTCTATATTTTATATATAAGCATCTATAGATTTATTTAAATATAAATCTGCTGATTTTTTCTTTTATTTTTATAATTATTCTATATGGGCTCTTGTTTTTTTAAATATCTCCTAATGCTTTATTATATTAAAAAAATTATTAAAAAATAAATAAAAATAATATACTGTTGCAACAATTTATTTTAATAAATTCTAATATTCAGTTTATTTTTCAACATTTTTTTCATTATAAATTTTAATAATTTATATTACTAAACTTATATTTCTTAATTTATCAAAAATATCACCCAAATTAGGTTCTACACTTTCAACTATTTTAATTTTTTTTTAATTTTGAAAGTATGTAATATATTTTTATTTGTACTCAAACGTGATAAACATCCCATGTTATATCCTACTAGCTAAGATATTTTTTCTATAGAATACATATTTTATTGTTAAAGTTCTGTATGTTTTCTTTTATTTTATTCAAGAACTTCTTTTGCTAAATCAATTGGATTTGCATAATATCTTAGCTTTTATTAATATGATTTATTTAGCAAATATGCTTTTATGATTGCCATTACTAAAAAGCAAAAAATAATAGATAACCAATCCCACATTATTATTTTATTTTTTATTTTTGTTAAGTTTTTTTAATTTATAAAAAAAATTTAATTTTAATTTAAAAATATTTATATTTATATACATAAATTCATTTATAAAATATTTATTTTTTAATTATTAATATTAATTAATTAATAAAAATCAAAAAATCACATATATGATATATATTTTTCTAAATTTTATTATGAATTTAACAGTTTATGGAAATTAATTATTATTAAAAAACACTCAATAATCATTTTTTCTTGCCTGATCTAAAAATATAGTTTCTAACTAATTAATATCTACTTAATTATTAGTTAATATTTCATTTATATCAATATAACATTTTTTTTTAAATAAAGCATATAACTATAATTAATCATTATTGCTATCTTTATAATCTTTAGCAATATTATTCTATTAAAAATGTCTTTCACATCCTTTTTAAATTAAATTTAATTTAAATAAACATTCACTGATTTTTTCATACATAAGCCATGGTAACATAGATGATTATTACTAACTATTTAATAAATGATTTCCATTAATTTATTTTTATAAATTTTGGGAATTATTTTGTAAATTTTTATTTTAATATTATTAAAGTTTATTTTCGCAAATAGTAATGTCCTATAAGTATGGATTTATACAAGGAATATAATTATAAATACGCTAATTTTGCATTTTATTGACTTCTTTTTAATATCCATCATATTTATCATTGAATAAATTATCATATAGTTATTATTCTAATTTTGAAAAAGGCGATTAAATTACTTTTAATTATTATTCAAGTATTTACCATGTTTTTGGCATAAAAATCTTTAGTTTGGAAACACATGTATACATAATATGAAGGGATGCATAATTTTTTTATTGGTAGGCAAGCCTCATTAAATCAATATATTTACAAATATAATTTACTCTTATTTGAATTTGTTTTTTAACTATTATTAAATTTACTAACCAATAAACTAAATAATTAAACCTATTTGAATATTTCTATATGAATGGATTTTTTTTATTTATGTTGCATTTTGATTTCAATAAACTCGATAAATTTAATTTTATGAAACATTTAGATTCTATAGTATTTAAAACATCAATTATTAACTAATTGTTATATATTAATAAAGGCTTAGTACTATGCATAAGCATTAAATTTTAGATTTTTTTTTCTTCAAATTCCTCTTTGTTATTTTTAGATAGCTATTTTTATATTTTTTTTAATGAAAATTAGTTTATTTCGTGTTAAGTGTATTTGTTTTTGACTTTTTCGAATAAAATATCGAATTAAAATTGTTCTTGACTATTTTTGATATTTTAAGATACTTATTTAAAAAATTTGAGAAAAATTAAACTCGTTATATTATTTTATAAAAAGTCATTAGACCTATATTCTATATAATCTCTTATTATTTACCATATATTTACACTTATTTCTTCTTTTCTTTTAAAAAATTCTTCTCTTTCAGTATCACATGCTCCTAATGGAAAAGGTATATAATACTGTGTAAATATTTTATTTTTATATATTAAAAAAAAAAAATCCATATTTAATTATTTACACATTTGATTATAAATAACAAAAATATAATAGGTGTCATATAATAGTCAAATGTAAGAATTATATTGATCCGAAAACTTTTAGGCTTTACTTAAAAAACAATAGAAGAAACTGCTGTTATTACATTTAATCCCATATATAATCTTTTCGAAGATACTTTTTAAATATCAATATTTTATTCGCTCTCTTATTAAAACTACTAGGAATGATTTTATGAATGGTAAATATGTATGTTATTATTTACCTAAACATTATTATTTTAACATATTATGGAAGTATTATTAATACATTATATATTATTATTTAAAGAGTTTAAATTCATTATAAATTATTCTTATTAATATGTAAATTATTCATTGAAAAAAGGCATGTATTCGAGATCTTTTTAAAAATTTACAAAAACAACTTGATAAAATTCGCCTATATTTTTTGATTTGACAAGATTTTCAAGTAAAAAGTTTTTCATTTCCTAGTTTAGAATGTCATCATCTAATTCTAATTATTTTTATTTTATTTTAATTTTAATTTTTTAAAATACCAATTTAGATACCGATTTATTATAAAGATTTGCACATATTTTTATTTTCTACTATGGAAGATTAAAAAGACTATGTATTTGTTGATAAATGGTCAAAATTCACATTATTTTATTTGCAAATATCTGGTTAATTTGTATCTTAAAGACTTAAATACAATTCAGATAATGTTTTTTCTGAATATATAATAAATATTTCGCTATTTATGAAAATATATAGATATTTACCACTTCTTGAACTATTTGAATTTTATAAATTATAAATAAGACTTGAATTTAAAATAAAAGAATTAGTATTACCGTCACCTTTATAAATATTTTTTATTTTTATGTGAGAAATTAAATGTTTTTTTACTATCATGTTATTAATCTGAATCTATTTTTATTTAATTTTTTAAAGATAAAATTAAAAAATGAATATATAATATTTATGATAAAAATTAAAATAAAAAATAAATTTTAATTTTTAAAAATAAAGATAATTTAAAATATAAATTATAAAAATATATGTGATTATAATAAATAATTTTATAAATAATTTATTTATATGGTTATTTATTTATTTTACATGTTGATTTGTTTGATATTTTTTTTTTATGTAATAAACTTCTTATTGGTGAATATAAGGGCTGTTATTATACCATTAAATATTTGGATTATTTATTAGATTTCTCAGTGGCAAATTTTCTTATTTTATTTTATGTTAAGGGTGATATATTATTTTTATTTTGTTAATGATTGTGTATTGGACCAAATATACTTTACTAAGTTTCATATTATTATTAATGATATTAATACATTATAATTTTATATATCTTATTATTGTAATAATATACAAAAAACTTTATTTTTATTTTATTTTACTTTTATATTTATTTATTCTTGTTATTTTTATATTTACTATTGATAAATTTAATTTATTTATATTTTTTTTAATTTTATATGAAATATATTTTTTAATGAAAAATAAATTATTTTAATTATATATTTAATATATATATTTAATTTAAAATTATATAAAATGTAAAAACTAAAATTATTTTTATTTTTGATAATATAAAATATTTTATAATATGAAAAAATAAAAATATAATTTATTGTTTTATTTTTTATTAAAAAAATAAAATAATAAAGGGATAAAAAATATTAATTTTTTAATATCTTTATTCAATTGCATTTTTCAAAAATTAAATTAATTATATTAAATAATGATATTGACATATAAATTGATGTATTATTAGTTTTTTATTAAAAAAAATAATAAGGAATATATTTATAAAGATAGTATTTATATATTTGACTTTGAACCTGAAATCATTATTATATATTAATTTCTAGAAAATAATTTAATTTAAATTATATTTTAATTAGTATTTAACTAAATTAAATTTATTTAGAAATATAAAAAAAATAAATATTATTAGATTTCGAACTCTATAAAGTATATATTACATTTAGTTTCTTAATAACCTAAAAGAAATATTTTCATCGTCTTTAAAAGTGTATATATATATAATTTTTACTTTAATTATTTAGATAAATTGATATAAATTTATTTTAAATTTTAATTCATTTAATTAATATATTTTATTAATTTTACATTACATTTTTATTAGATTTACGTAATTAAAAAATCATTTGTTTTAATTAGAATATTAAATTATTAGTTTTTTATTTCTTTGTTCTATCTATAATTGAATACTAGAAATTAAAATTTAATATCATTAAAACTTTACAACTTTAACTATAATTAGAATATAATTATAGTTGGTATATAATAGTTAACATTTATGAAAATATAAATAATTATTTTTTTATGAAATTAATTAAACAAAAAATATACAATTAATGTTTAGAACAAGAAATATTAGACTATCATTAACATAATAAATTAAAAAAAGTTACAATTATATATTAATTAAATTAAATAAAAAACATTAATAATAAAGATAAAATTAATATTTTTATGTATTAATTTGATAATTTATAATACAGATCAGTAAAAAAAAATTGATTAAAATATTATTTAGAATGTAAGAATTTATTTTATTAAAACAAAAAATATATATAGTTTAATAATTTCAAGATTAATTATTAATTAATTAATAAATTATTAAGAAAAATAAGAAATGTTTATAAATAGAAAACTTTTTGGAAAAAAATAAGAAAAGACTTGAAATATATTTTATTTTTAATTATTTTGCATTTATATAAAACCTTTATTAATATTATAAAAAAAATTATTGTAAATTTATAATTTTATATATTTAATTAAATTTAATTATACTATAGAAATAATATATTTTTAGCTTGTATTTGTATTTGAATTAAAATAAAATCAAAAAAATAAATTTATAATTTTTAAAAATTTTTTTTAATAATAAATAAATTTTATTTATTAAAAAAAAAATTATTTTAAAAGTTATAATGAATTAGAGATAATATAATTAAAAAAAAATCTTTAAAACTAAAAAACTTAATAAAATTAATATATCAAAAATAAGTGAAAAAAATAAATAAAAAAAGTAAAAATCAAACTTTATCATTAATTTTATTATTCTTATTGTCGACTACAATAATAGGAAATTATTATTATTATTATTATAAAACAGGTTAGTTATTTATTAATTATAAATTATCTATATTATATTGCTAAACTAAGCTATTATCTAACTAAAATTCTTTTTTTAAAGAAAGTTATTATACTAATTAATTACTTATAAAGTAGTTATTTTTCTATAACTAAGTTAAAAGAAAAATATCATCAGTCTATGCTTATAGTAATTATTATTATTTTTATTTTTTTTTAGCCTCCCTATCAGTCCTTTAGCAAGGTGCAAAAGGATGAGACCTTGCTTTATGCCCTCCTAGCTATTATCTCGTAATAAATTATTTTTTACAGACAAAACAAGTATATTACTTCTATTATTATTCTTATTATTGAATCATTGTTTCTCTTTATAAAGAATTTTCATTTGTTTCATTTTTAATATTGTTTTCTATTAATTATTGTTTTTCAATAACATTATTAAAAATATTTTAAAATTCGTTTTTTATCATCATATTTTCTATATTTTCTTCACTTTTTTAATTGTTACTTGTTTTAGAACTTTCTAATTCATCTTTTTGCTAAATTCTATTTTCGTCAGTTTCTTCTTTTTAAGCTTAAATTTTTGCGATAGTAAAATCCTCCTTTATGTATTTAATTTTAGGTAGAGAGGAGTTTTTATGTTTTTTTATTTTATTTTTTTTCAATAAACTGTTTATATTTACATTAGAATCCGATAAATTTTATTTTAAACTTTCGATTTCTTAGTCTAAGGCTTTTTTATATTACTCGTATTAATGAAGTAATTAACTTATATTATTATATTAAGTCATGTAATAGTTTATTAAATGGTCACATTCATAAGAAATTTATTATAATTCTTGGATTTTATTTATTATTTATAAATTGGATTTTATTTAATTTTCGAAATTGGAAGGTTCTTAAGGTGTTTGTATTGATTATTGTGGTTGATTTTCCTGCATTTTTTTTTTTTTTTTAATGAAATTTTGTATTTTTTTTATTATTAATTATATATTATATTTATGTATATATGAAAATTTATATTCTTAAAAAAAAAAAAAAAGGCTATTTTTTCTATATATTTATATCAATATTAAAAAAATTTATTTAAAAAAATTTAAAACTTTTTTGTATTTATTTAAATTTTTTATTTTGTTTATAAATATTGAAAAAAACTTAAAATATATATTTTTTTTTAATTTTTAATTTTATATAAATTTTAAAATATCATTTTTTTATTTTATAAAATTATAAAAAAAATATTAAAAATTATTAATATTTGTTTTTTAATAGTCTATGTACTTTATTATTTATATTATTTAGTTAATGAAATGAAAAGACAAAAAATTATAATAATATTATAAATAATTGTACATACAATAAATATAGATCTCACTTTTTATTTGTATCTTGGTTTTCTTCTTCAAATACTTCCTAACTTTAAATAGCTTTTAAAATTACTTTCTTACTAGGCTCCATTACATGACCTGAAATCATCAACTCATCTAAAATAAAATATGCCTTATATTATTTTTATTTTAATTAATTAAAATATTTTTTCTTTATAAAAATTACTTTATGAAAATTAAAAATTAAATCCAATTCACATACATTACCAAAATACTTATCTAAACATTCAACATAATGATGTATAATTTCTAAAATTCCTAATTCGTTTTCTTCTTTATCAACAATGGTAATAAAATATAAACTTGCATATCTATTTATTTATTTAAAATGAGATATTTTATTTTTAATTTAAAATGAGATTTTTAATTTTTTAATTGTGATTTTTATTATATTATTATTATTTTTAATTTAATTTAAACCTTTTGTAAACTATTTTATAATCGTTCCATTCTAAAAAATTACATAAACGACTACTTCTTGTTAATACAATAGAATTAATCTATTTTTTATGATTTAATATTAATATATTAATTGTTTTTTTTATTTTTTTAATAATTATATTACTTCTTTCAAATATCTTGTTTTTTGTTTACTTGTAAATGATTAAGAAAACCATTTAGTTAATCTTGTTTTACCTTATCTGCTCATTAAGAATAAACAATGTATCATTTATAAATTCTGAAAGTATTTTTTATTTTTTTTGTTTTTTTTTTCTTTTCTTTTATTATTATATGTTTTTTTTTAATTTTAATTTATTTTAGTAAAAAAAAAATCTAAATGATATAAAATGAATAAAATTCAAAAATATATATATTAATTAATAAAATTAATTATATATTTAATTATTATAAAAATTATAAATAAAAAATAATATATAATACAATGAGTAATTATAAAAATTATTTCAAAAAGCAAACTATATTTATATTTTTAAATGTTTATGTCTTAATAATAAATTTTATTAATAATTTAAAATTATATTATATAAATTAAAAAATAAAATAATAAAACATAATTATTTGAAAAAATTAAAATACAAAAAAGACTTTGCTTTTTTATTAGAATTTAACTCCTATAAATAAATTAAAGACTATAAAAATATATAATATTAAGAATAATAAGATTTTTTTATAAATATTTATAAATATAAAATGGGAAATTGTTCATGTATAAGCAACAATAATAAAGAAATAGAAATATAAGTCGATATAAAATAAAATGAAACAAAAATAGAAAATAAACCATGTATAAAGGAAAAAATAAACCAATAACTACAAAAAGAAACATTATATTAAAGTTGTTCTTAATAAAGTATACAAATAGAAGATCATGAATAACCTAATAGCAAAAAAAATACACAAAAAGAGTAAAATTATCTCAAATTAATTTAGAAAACGGGATAATTTATGAAGGAGAATGGTATTAGGGAATGAAAGATGGTTATGGGATTTAAAAATGGGAAAGTGGATTGAAATATGAAGGTTATTGGAAAAATAATTAAAGTAACGGATAAGGTAAATTAACATATGCGAATGGTGATATTTTTGAAGGAGAATGGATAAATGATAAGGCAAATGGAAAAGGTATCTATTATTTTGCAAATGGAGCTAAATATGAAGGAGAGTGGAAAGATAATAAATAAGTTCTATAAATATTTATATATATATATATATATATATATATATATATATATATATAATAAATATTTATATATATTTATATATTTCAATATATATTTTAATATAATTCTTTATATTTATATAAAATTTTTTTAGTGTGGATTTGGTATATAATATTGGCCAGATGGGTCAAAATACTAAGGAGATTTTGAAGATGGTAAAAAATAAGGTAAAGGAATTTTACACTATTGCGATAAATCTTATTATGAAGGAGAATTTTAAAATAATATTATTAAAGGTTTTGGTATTTATATATGGCCTGATAATAGAATTTATGAAGGATAATGGAATTTCAATAAAATGGATGGTTTTGGAAAAATGGAATGGCCTGAAAATCTAATTATTGAAAATAATATAAATACTGATAATAATAATGATAAAAGTAGTAATGTTATTATAAAGGACGATAAAGATGAGGAAGAATCGAGTATTTAAAAAGGAGATGGAAAATAATATATAGGTCATTGGAAATAAGGAAGATAACATGGTCTAGGGATGGTTGTTTTTATAAATGAGGAAAACAAGTTTGGAGTTTGGTATAAGGGGAAAAATATTAAATGGCTTAATAAGACAGAAGTTGAATAATATAGAAAATAAGGAAAATTAAATTTTTTGGATTGAATTCTTTTCATTTTTACAATTTATTGATAAAAAATAATTAACAAAAATATGGTTTTAATATATAATTAATGTAAATATATTTTATTGGTAATTAGGAGATATTTTTAGATAAGTAAAATTTCGGCTTTTTTTTTTATAATTTAGTTTCTCATTTTAGTTTTTATTTAATTTTTTAATTAATTTTAAGTTATTTAGCTAAGAAAAAAATAAAAATAAGTTTTGTTAAATTTTATTATTTTAAAATATGCATTATTTAAATAAATAAACTTTTTTATATTATAAATTATTTTTTTACAGATTTTAATTATTTTTATTAACCAAAAACATAATATATTTATTTTAAAAATTTTATCTTATTAATATATATTATTTATTAATATATTTTTTTAAATATACTAATTTTAAAATTATAAGTGTATATATTTATAATTAATTTTTGAAATTATTTTTTTATAAAATTAGATAATCAAAAGATTTTTAAATATTAAAAATTAGAAATAAAAAATAAAATATTTAATGTTCAAAAAAGGATTTTTTACTAACTTAATTTTTTTTTTTTTAAATAAATTCTTTTTCTAAATTAACTAATCAACATAATTTTTAAAAATAACTGCAAATACATTCATGACATTCACTCTCCCCTAACTGTTTATAAACACAAACTTTATAATCATTTCTATTTTAATCGCAAACACTCCTTATTTTTAAAAAGATAATTTGACATTTTCTATTTGTTTTATTTGAACACTCTAATTTTTATTAGTTACTCTTTTATTATTTAGCATTGTTATTTATTTAGTATTCTTAATAAGCTTTTTATACTAATTATAATGCATTTTAATTTTCGACAACTTTCTAGGCAATTTCGGAAACGTTTTAGACATCTGTTTTAATTATGTTCTTTAATTAGTCCCTAAATTCTTATACATGCATTAAATTTTAAATTTTATTAATAATTTCTTTATTTTTTAAGAGATTTGTTGATTATTAAGGATTAGTTAAAAAATTCTATAACTATTAAGATTTTATCCCTGAGTTTAAAATACCCCCTATAATTAAATCACTTATGCTGAAATGTTATGCCTTATTAACTTATTTTTCTATTTGTTAAAAATCTTCAAACTTACATAAAGATGGAAATAATTAGCAAAAACATGGCTTACATTGTGTTTAGTTTAATTATTTTTTTATACATTCAGTAGTATCTTCGATTTCTTTAATACATTAAACTTTTTATTTAATTTATTTTTATATTATTTATATATATATATATATATATATATATATATATATATATATATATATATATATATATATATATATATATATATATATTTTAACTTGAGTATTATTTAACCTAGGATTTACATTCGCCTAAAAGTTCTAAATCACACTAAGATGCTGTAATTAAAAGCTTTTTTATGTTTATGTAATGAGTATCTTCCTAATTTGTTTTGATAGATGAAAAAGGATTTTAAGGTTTAGTTTAATCTATTGTTCCAGATTTTTCAGAGCAGTGTTAACTGAAAATTAAGCATGTACAATCTAAACATTCGGAATTTTAGTTCATTAAATTATAGCAATTTTAAACATCTTATTTACTTTTGCATTCTAATATAATAGAGGATAAACTAGAAGCACATGTCAGAGATTTTTAAAAATTGCATTTTTTTGGGTTTAATTGAAAAGTTTTAATTATAATGATAAATAATAAAATAAGTTAAATCATTTTTTTTTTTATTAAATATATATATATTTATAAATATATATTTATATTTGTATTAAAAATGAATATTTATTATTACAATTATTTCTTTTATAAAGTTATATAGAAAAAGTAAATAAAAGTTTTGTTGTAAAAAAATACTTTTATAAAGAAAATTCTACATACTATAAAAAAAAAATATTTTGTAAATAAATGATGCATTTATAAAAAATGCGTAAGTTAGTTAATTTTAAGTATGTGACTTAACATAAATTTAAAAAATAATAATTAATTTTTTAATATTTTTTTTTTTCTTTCTTAAACACAACTCATTAATCTGAAATTTTACTATTAAAATATCTTTTAGAATTTAATATACGCCAAGAAACAAAATTTTGATATTTATAAAAATAGATTGAAATATATATCTTTATTTTTATATTAACATCTTTATTTATTTAATTTTAAGTTTTTAATAAAAATTAATCTCTATTGAAATGAGAAAAACCTTCCTTTATTATATTAAAGTATTATAAAAATTTTGAAAAAATTATTATTAATATCTTATATATCAAATAATGCGTTATTTAACAATGAGATTTTAATTTATTATAGAAGCTTGATTATTTTCTTTAAATATTATTAATATATTCATGTTGCAATTATTTAATAATTAAGCTTCTATATAATTTTAAATTTTGCCTTCTATTTAAGAATAAGGTTGCAGTATTATAATTATATCATTGAAATTTAGTTTTAATTTTTATTTATTTTCCTGAATTTCTTTTGAAATTAATTATATTTAGAGTTCGTTTAGTTTTAAATATCATTATAATAATTTTGATTATATACTATAAATTAATAAAGATTAGTTTCGTATATAATTTTATAAATATGTATTTTTATTTTTTACTTAAATTTATAATTTAAAAAAAAAGTATTTAATAAAATAATTATTGTATAATCTAAAACAAAACATAAATAAAAAATACACTTAATTATTATATATAATTATTTTTTAGATTCTTTGATCTACGATTTTTATTTTTATTAAATTAATTATATTTTGTTTTTTATTAAACTCTTATTTTTTTTTAAATAAAGCTATAATGACAGAAATAGTGACATAAAAGCCAGAAAACTTGCAAAACGATATACAAGATCTAAAGGTACAAGAGGACAATTCAAAATTAGAAATCGAAAAAAATGTAAAAGATCCAGAAATCAATTCAAGTGAAGATGAAGAAGAAGATTCTCAGAAAATAAAGCTTTAACCAAAAGCATAAAACAAGAAGAAAAATAAAAAGAAAAATAAAAAAAAAGTTCAAAAATAAGATGATGATACTGATTATGAAGTAGATGTTAAAAAAAAGCTTTAACTTCTCAATTATTGATGTGTGATACAATATAGGAGCATTTAAGAATAAAATACGCTCTTTTAGAATCAAATCCATTTATGTTAATTATATCTAATATTCCTCCGACTATTAGTACATATGAAATAAGGGATTACTTTACGGCTTTAGTGCAAAATTTAAGGCCTGAATTCGCTGAACCTCCACCAATTAGAAACGTCGAGATTTCCTCAAGTAAATAATTCGCAGCAGTGGAATTTTCAACAAAATAAGCAAAAAATTTTGTTAAAAATTTAAAAGGATTAGAATTTCATAAATATGTATTTTTTTTTTATACATTTATCAATATTATATGTTATTTTTATTTTTAAAAAAATATAAGAAATTATATATAGAGAAATCTTCTTAATATTTTAATAGAATTTTTATGGACAAAATTTAAGTGGAAGATGCGATTTTAGACTCAGAAGAAGGAATTTAAGAAAATAAAATTTATATGGGAGGACTTCCTACATATTTAAAAGACCCTGAAATAAAAAAATTATGTGAAACATTTGGGAAACTAAAATATTTTAATTTAGCGAAATAATAAAACGAAAATAAAGAATGGGTTTCCAAAGGTTATTGCTTTTTTGAATATGAAGATAAAGAAGTGACAGATAGAGCCATAAAAGCATTAAATGGATTACCTTGTGGTGATAGGAAACTGAAGGTATCGAAAGTTACAAGAGATTAAAATAAATTAGCGAAAACTTAATAAATCCAAAATGATAGGTCAAGAGCTGTACCTTCTAATTAACTTGTAAAAATTATAAATAAAAATATTATTTATTTATAAAATGTATATAGAGTGGTAGTTATTTAGGTGATTGCCATCTTATTAAAAATGAATTTGTTAGAAAAATGCTTAGTATACCTGAATATACTTATTAGCCAAGTAGAGTTATTTAGCTTTTGAATATGTGTTCACCTGAAGATCTTTTTGAAGATGATATTTATAATGAAATATATTAAGATGTTTAAAGTGAATGCGAAAAAATAGGACCTATAGAAAAAGTAGAAATAGTAAGACCTTGTAAAATGACAGGAATTTGCCCTCCTTCTGTTGGAAAGATTTTTGTTAAATTTAAGTAATTTTGTTTGTATTATTATTTGTTTTTTATTTTTATTAGATATTTGTTAAAGGCTAAAAGAGCTAGACATGTTTTAAATGGAAGAACTTATAATAAAAGAACTGTTGTTGCTTCATTTTATCCCGAAGAAAAATTTGATTGTAAAGAATTTTTAGTGAATCTAACATGAGCATCAAATATATATATTTTTATTATTATTTTAAATAGTAGAATTAAAAAATATAAATTATAATTGATTTTAAATAAAAAAAAAATATATATATTTTTTGCCATATAATAAAATATATATTATTATTTTTTTTAAGATTTTATGGAATATATAAAAATATAAGTTTTTGAAATATTTAAAATATATATTTTATTCATTTTTAATAAATTATTTTATAAATATTAAAATTTTTATTTATAATATATTTATTAATAAATTTTAACATTATTAAATATATATATTATTATATTTATATATAATTATTTATTAATACATATAAATATATATAAATAGATATAAATTAATTTTAATATTTTTATAAAAATTTTATCTGACTATCATTTTTATACTAAATGCATATTTGTTTTATATCATATAATTTACATAATTTTTTAATTTTTTGCTTCTAATTTTTACATTTAATAATTTTTAATTTATTCTAACAGATAGTATATGCTTATCATAAAATTAATTTTTCAAATTTAAAATAGCCTTTTAAATATTTAAAATAACAGGATCTTTATTAATTATGCATTAATTTATTATAAACTATATTATTTTCTTTTAATAATTGAATTTATAGACTATTTTTAAAATAAATAAAAAAATCTATTTTTATGTATTCTTAAATTATAATAATAATACAATATTATAAAGTCGATTTATTATATAATAATTTTTGATATATTAATTTTATTTCTTATTTTTTTTAATTAATGATTTTATTTATTTAAATTAAAAAAGTTAAATTAAGAAAAAATTTTTAATGACAATTATTTATAAGAAATCATATTTCATGTAATTTTAAAAATTAATTTTTATTTAATAAGAATAATAAAAAGTTAAAATTAAAATATTTATTTATTAAAATATATAATAAAAAAAAAATATAATATTTTATTTATAATTAAATGATAATATTTTTGTAAATTTATATAAAAAAATTAAATAAATTTTATAAAAAAATATAAAAAATATTAAA